ATTTGATATGAATATGGACTTCTTTAAAAATAAAATGCTCCATAATAATTTGGAGTTATTCTGGATATTTCAAATTGTTCTCTTTAATCACCGTAATCTCTAAAAGCAAATGTTTCATTCTGTTTATCTGGATACATGAGAATTCCTTAATCTGTAGTTACCTTTTTTGTTCGAAAAAAAATATCGGATTAAACGAACATTTTATCTGGTACGAATGTATAAAATTAATCGGTTGCTAAAAAAGGTTAAACATAATCTTAAGGTCTATTTGGATTGATTAACTAATATTTAATATGTATTAATAAATACAAAGTTGGTTGTAAAAACTTGAAATCGAAAACTACCTTAAGAATTCAAAGTATTCTTAATTTCATCGGTAGTTTTACACGTGGGCTTCCATGTTAGATTACTACTTGATGAATTTATGCAATTTGTCACAGAAAATTTCAAGAAATAATAGTCTGTGCTTGCCCATACTCCTCCCACAGTCATATTCTAACTATGAATAAAGTTAAGATTTGGACATAAGAAATTTCCTAAATTTTACTCTTCAAACTAATCTGTAAAATTGACACTGTACTAGTCGAATAGATGTGCAAAGTGCTCAACTTTACATGGTACTAAGTCAATTAATATATTTGGGTATCGATATTGTGTTCCATTAGGAAATCGATGATAATGACGCTATTCAACTGTAATATTGAAGAAAGGATTTGTAGTGAAATTATCTTATTCAATCTAAACAGCAAACATAAAGTGTGACTTATCCAATATCAAGTTATCGGGATTGTTAGCAAATTTGAATTCTGATGTAGATGTTACATTTAATTTGGCGAAAAAGTTAATGATATTTGAATAAAAGAAGCTTATGATGGTAGCAATCATACAAATAGATAGAAATCCTCCTATGCTTGTTTTATATTATTCTTCCTATCTAAAGCTTAGATTAATAGTTTATCCAAATATATCAATTAATTTGAGGCCTTGCTTACACTTTTAGATCATTATTTATTAAAATTATTAGATATTGTATCAAATGACTGATATTAATATTAGTAAACCAATAATGAATATAAAAATAAAGTGTAGAATTAGACAATATTTCTTTTTTATTAACCTTATAATCAAAATTATTAGTTTTATATAAATAATTATCATAATCAAAGTAATATTTAAATTAATTAAAATGGTATGCGATAAATGTCAAGAGAAACTAACTAAATTGGCAACTCCAGATGTATGGGACAAAGATAATAAAAATAAAAAGCCTGGAATGATATTACCTTCATTTAATAAGAATAAATTTGATCCAATGGGAAAAAATAAATGCTAGAAATGTAAAAAAAGATAAGTTCAAAAAAATGAGAAATTTTGTTAAGAATGTGCATACAAAGATGGTATATGCAAGATGTGTGGAGTGAAAGTCTTAGAGACTAAATTTTATAGATAATCAAATGTTTGAATATTGGATTCATCATTCCATGAAGTATTTTTAATCTTCCAATTCCTCATTATTAACACTCTCCTCTTACTAGACTATTACTCTATCAAATGGTTTTGATCTAAACATTGGTTATCTTCCAGTTTTTTTTTTACTGGGTTACATAATCTTTTCTTGATTTGCTTTAATTCTTCTCTCTTCTTCTTATTTTAATTTTAAGTTATTTGAATCCCTTTATTTAACCTTCCAATCCCTTTCACATTCTTATCTCTATATTTATAATTGAAAATTCTTACAAAGTTTTCAACTCTATCTGGTCTAAATGATCTAATCTATTTCAACTGTCTTTCTAAATGTAATTCTATTTAAACCAAGATATCTAATGTTTCTTTATTTTATAAATCATGAACCCCTTAAATTTCATTAGGAAAATTTTCACAAACTTCAATTATTTATTTTCTTAATTCTTTATGATCTTTTTTAGCATTCTTTTCTGTCCCTTTTAATTATAATGTTTTAATTTATTAACATACATTCTAAATATAGATTATATAAATTACTTCATAGTTCTTTTTTAATTATTCTTTATTCTATTATAATGTAAATACTTTATCATCAAGAGACTTTTTTATTTTATTAAATTTAGTTTTTAATTCTTCTAAATTTTATTCTGCATCTTAAGTAGTTTAAATTAAAAATAAATTTCTTTCTTCTAAATCATTAAATATCTCAACCAATTATGATGGTTATTTAAAATACATTTCATATTCATCTTCAAATTCTTCTAATTCATCTCTAATAAATATCAATTTGTATTTTATTACAGCTTTTTATTATCTACCATTTATTAAAATTATTTATCAGTTAGCCCTTTACTTTTAATTAATTCTTCTTTCAATCTATTTACTAATTATTAACGCTTCTTTTCTTTTGCATCATGCCATTCTTTTGGAGCTAATTTATCTAAAAATTTCTTATGATCCATATAATTATTAACAGCTTCTTCATTCCTTGTTTTCTCTGCTCTTAAACTTGTTATCTTTATATTGATAGACTTAATCTCAGATTCTTTTGCTTTCTTTTCTTTTACTTCTTAATCTGCTTTCTATTCTGCATCTAATTTTTATTATTTATTTGTATCCAAATACTTTTAAAAATTCTCATTATCAGTTTCCAACATTTTCAAACTCTATCCTAAAGCTTCTTTCTTATCTTTTGACATTAATTTTAATTTATCAATCTCTTCTTCAATTATTCCATGAGCTTTTGATACTAAAAACATTTCTTTCTTCTATTCTAAGAGTGTCACAATAGGTTCCTTTGATACTCCTTTAGCTCTTTATTTCTTTCTTTCTTAAATGATTTATAATGCCTCATTTATTATTTTCTTATCTTTATCATTATAAGCAGTTTTCGATTTAAATTTATCATCAATTTAAGTTTCATATGACTAAAAGTAATAAAACAATTATACTTTGAAATGCTTTAACTAAGTTCTATTTGTAGCAGTTTTCTTGTCCCAAATATGCATATCTCCATTATTTTAAGCTTCTTACTTTTTACGATCTTATTCTCTAAACAAAAACACTTCTTCATCAGAAGGATAACGAAATGGACTTTGGATGTCACTTTTATTAACTTTATGAATCTAAGGCAATTTCTCTGACATTTAATATTATATTATTGATTTTATTCATTTTGAATCTAATAATTTATCAGCATAAACATTAATATATTTATATATCTCTAATTTTCATATGAACTAATACCAAAAACTACTCTAAAATATGTCACTTATAACATTGTATCTACAAAGTCCAAAAGAAATGAAATAATTCATAGATGAAAAATTAAGAGGTAAACAAACTCTAAGAAATAGAGTTCAACTCTGGATATAATTCAATTAACGACTCACCAGAATTAACCTATTATTAATAAAGGTTATAAGAATTTTGGTCTAAACATCATCAAAATATAGAGCCAATTTAAAGCAATTAGAATCAAGAGAGACCCAAGAGTATAGATATAAATTTCTACCAAATTAAAAATTTTTCAGATTTCAAATTAGAATTTGAGCTTACATTTATGCATTTGTAGACCTATTAGTAATAATCTATATTAAGCGAAATTACCTAAAAGAATTATAGGGAAGTTATTTTGGAGAAGATAAAGTTATAAGAACAATTAGAGTAATTAACTAAATCAGAAAAGCTTTTAGTATAAGATAATTAGAAACTATAAGAATAAATTAGAAAACTCATAAGTGAAATCTAGGATCTTAAAAATCAAATCAATAATAATTAAATCTTTTGTAAAGAGACTCAAGAATTGACGTAGAGTAAAATAGAAATAGTAAAATTATAGTAATAAAATTATTCATTATAGAATTAAATTCATAAGTTATATGATGTAAATTATTTAGATTAAATTTAGCAAATGGAACTTGATAAATAACATGTTTTATAAAATTAAGTTATATAATTGGAATAATAAATGAAAATTTAAGGAGATTAATTAGCTTAAGCAAATGCAGAAATTTAAAAATATACAAATGAAATTTAACAATTATAAATGAGAAATTTTAAAATTATCAACAGTAATTTTGAATAATTAGGAATAAGATGTATACCTATATTCAATGGTGTACCCACCTATTTATATAGTATAATATATTTATTGGAATTGATGACTCCTTTGAATAAAATTTTAGTGGTTAATGAAAAAGTAAGTCTAATTATATATCAATTTATAAATTATATTAGAAAAGAAAATGAATAAATTTAATCTTCAACTGCAATTTAATTATAAGAATTAATCAAAATTTAAAATTAAAATGATAATAAAGCAAATGATTTTTTATTTTAGATTATTGATCATTTAACAAAAGTAATAATTAAAAATGAATAATAAAAATCATAAATTGCAACCATTATTCAAACCTAAGATTCACCAATTTTTGATCTGTTTTTCTTCTTATAACGATCATTTCCAATTAATACAGAGAGTATAATTTTAAATAAATTAAATAGTTTTACCTAATGAAGTGCCACTCATTAATAGTATCAAATATGTAAGATATTTTGAGAATCTAATTACACCATAATGTGAATTTTCAAAATATTTAAATGATTTGATTAAATTGGAAGGTCAAGAAAATAAAATTGATGAAAATGATGCAGATTTCAATTTTATTATATTTCCTTAATTTTTGATTTTCAATACTTCTGAACTATCAACTTAATAAGCAGATATGAAGATATCTTTAAATATTCAAAGTACATCTTTGAATCCAGAATAAACGGATTTTTAATATTAATTAATTAGTATGATACACTGTAATAATGAGGATAATTAATTAAATTATATGATAACTTTATGTAAAAATAAAACTTGGATATAAATTAAATAGGAAAATGCCTATAAAGTAGATATTAATACAATATTGACATTCTAATAACCTCATAATAACAAGGAATTATTAATATATGAGAAGATAAGTTTATGAGATTAAATTATTATAAAAAAGATCTGTTTAATTAATAAATCATCAAAAAAATTATCAGTCTGATAATAATTTATTATAATGTGTATTGAAACTATTGATTTTCCAATTGCTGGATTCAACTTGATATTTGCCAACTCCAGGTGTGAATTATCTACTAATATAACCAAGACGAGGTTATTATGATTTAAATGGAGCAGTTACTTATTTAAATGATCCAGATGGATATTAAGTTTGTTCAGTAAAAGACATACTTTACAGTATTTCCTAATTTTCTTTAAATCTGGGTTCAGCACAATCAAATCCAGGCTTCTACACATCAATTTTTTATAGATTTTTTAAAAATTTTAACTACTTTTACATTTTATATCCAATAGTTTGTTGATCTAATTTATATTACCCAATCTCAGGACCAGTAGTCTTATTTATAGCATCTCTTCTAGAAGAGGATTTAAAACAAGAGCTAACAGCTCTCTTTTTCTCGCCTTTATTAATATCATAACTTCCAGGTCCAGCCTTACAAAGTGGAGGTTTATCATAAAATCTTTTCTCTTTACCACCCAAATACCCACCAACCCCTCTATCTTATTTACGAATAAGATCTGTATAAATATCATTTTGAACATAATACGCTCCTGGTCCTGGCAATTATTCATCAGGAGTTTATAAATCTCCTTTACCAGTAGAACTCAAAAATGTAGCATTAGTATAGTTTTTCTTTTTTACCAATTAATCAAATGAAGAGTCTTCTATTCTATAATCTCCTGGGCCAACTGAAGATTCCTGTATATATCTGAATCGTTCTAAAGAGGAGCCAAAAAACTAAAATTCTCTGGCTTTTTTTTGAACTTTGATTGATACTCTGCCATCATTGTATTAACCAGGTCCTGGAGAATATTAATCTTTGTAATTGATTTATTTTCTTAAGCCAGCATTTATTTCTCTATTTGTTTTATAAATCAATTTATCATAATAGGATCTAACAGTTTCAGATAGAAATGCAGGAGATTTATTTTTCCTCTTTTTTTCATCAACAACATTATATTTACCAGGTCCTATATCTGTAGATTATTCTTATTAAAATCGAGGCTTTGTACTTTTGTCCCAAGAGATCCCTTTGGTTTATTTATCCTATTAAGCTTCATAAGTGGTTGGGCCTACAACTTTTTCTTTCTTTTGCTGTTTAAGTAATTTTTGATGTTAAGCCAAAGTTTCAATGTCTTCATAAACCATCCCAATTTATGTTTTGGGTTCAGGTATTGAATTAATACGTCTTCTGTGATTTTAATTTCTAATATCATCTAGTTTTTAATTTTGAAACAAATGTGCTTATTTGTTTTATGAATTATCTTTATGAGTATCATAATGACCAGGGCCAGGGACCTAGATTAAGTATTATAAAATACTTCTTTGACTTTTTTATTTTCTTAAAATCTCTCTATTCCACTTTTGAAGGAACTACTTCCATTACCTTAAACTTTGACTATTATGGTGCTTTTATTCATGTACGCTTGCACTCCAGAATCACCCATGTTGTATTACACTTCATATTAACCTGGACCAGGGAATAATGCTTTTTATTTGTTAGTTATCTCTACTTATCTCTTTCCAGTCGAGAGAAAAGGAGCATAAGCAGTTTTAGTTTGATGCTCAGGGATCTGATAAACTCCAGGACCTAGATGTGGGTAAGGGTCTTTTGTTTATGTCAATCCTCTATCTTCTTCATACAAAAAAGCCATTTGTATATTAATAAAATTAATATAATTCAGTTGAAAGAATATAATCATTTTACTTAGAATGTGTGAATTTCAAGAGACTAAAGAATTCATAATTAGAATCTATATTTAGTATTAGTTTTGTTTATCTTCTATATTGGATAGTTTAGTTGATAGACTATCATTCTGAAAAAGTCAACAAAATAAACTTGAATCTAAGTATACAAATTATTATTAATATATGCATTGTAATTAAAATGTATATATTAAGTTCGACTTTTAAACTAATTTTGAATTATAAAATGTTTAAACAAGATAATTTTATTCAGTCAAAACTTTCAAACATAGAATTCTTAGTAAAAATGTGTATAGTATAACAATTATTTATGATATTAAACAAATTATATATAAATATGGTAATTCCACATTTTAATGATTCTTTGTGTTAAATATTTTAAATTGAATCTAAATTGATATAGTGTATATTATAATGATGAATGAATATTTAAAATACTCTCTCTATATAAATAATATGCAATTAAGGTTAGTTGAATCTGTGTTAGATTTACTGGAGAGTTGGAATATAATAAATTTGGGAAGTTAAATTTTTAAAATTAATGAGTTCCATATTTTAATAAATATATTGTATTCTTGAGGAAGGTTGTATAAATATATGTAGAAACTTTGTAGAAACAATGAGAACATTCAGTATAATTATAGGATTAATAAGAGTAAGAAAAAAAATTGAGATAAAGAAAATGAAGGTGAGATAGATGTAGTGGAATTATGTTGGATGAGATTGAAAATAGATTTATATAGATTAAAAGATAATATTATGAATTTCATTACTATTAATACGGGTTGTTTGAAGAATATAGAGATATTATTAAAAATAAAAAAATGAGAACAAAGATTTTGCTCACAATTTTGCTCTTCAGCTAGTTGTTTACACTTGGTTTAGCTATAGACTATTCAGTGAACCCTGTAAATCCTGCATAAGGTGCAAATACAGTGGCTTAGAGTTAACCAGCTACAACAGGGCTATGCCTCAATGGTATGCATTATGATGATTATTCATTTTAGGATTTGGATGGAATGGCTAACTATGTATACCATGTATGTAGGTGAAGAATGGGTATTGCACATGTACAAAATATGGAGGCTGCGATACTAAAGTATGTGATTCTTCATTAACAAATTGCTAAGTTTTGACAAATGGATAAAACTCGTATGCATTATCTTCTTATCCATAGATACATATTATTGAGAGCAACAGGATGTAATAATTATGCTTGGGGTGATTCAAATACATCAGTAATTTGTACATAATGTTCATCTGGATATTTTATGGTTGGTATGATAATAATTGAATATTCAAAGCTGGAATCTGTGTTTAACCAAATAATTGTGCTTAGATGAATTTAGTAACAGGTACTTGTGATACTTGTGTCGATGGATATTATTTCACTTAAAATTTCTAATTGTAAACTCTTTAATCATGGGATTACTACTAAAATATCAATTAAGTGATTTGCAATAAATGTCTCGATAATTGTAAGATATGTACATCAGGGTATCAATATAATTTTATATTAAAAATAGTTATACTTGTGTTTAATGTATGGATTAATACTATTGGAGTCCAACATAATCTAAGTCTGCTTTATCAAGTACTCCAAACGATAGTAATGCTGGATAATGCTTGGCCTGTAATGTTAATATACCATTTTGTATAAAATGTTAAAATTCAACAACATGTGATAAATGTTTAGATGGATATTATTATACTGCTCCTTCAGATTCAACCACAAAAGGAACTTGTACTAAATGCATGAGCAATTGTTTATTATGTTAGAATGCAGACACTTGTGATACATGTGATACTGTCAACAATTATATATATTTACAAGCAAATAACTAAAATGTAATTAATATTATAATATAATTTAGTCATGTGCTTTATGTACTAGTATAACAGGATGCAAAACATGTTCAACTTAAAGTGGTCAATTAACATGTACTGCTTGTTAATCTGGTTATGTATTTGATTCTCAAAATGTTTGCAAATAATGTGATGTAAATTGTGCTTCTAATTCATGTTCTTATACAAATGATCAAGTATAATGTAGTAATTGTATTGCAACATTTGTATTGAAATCAAATACAAGTTGTAATTCATGTGGAACAGGCTGTTCATCTTGTTCATATAGTGATTAAGCTTAAACAAAAATAACTTGTGGATAATGCTTTGATAATTACTATAAAGATGATAACAGTGTTTGCTAATTATGTTCCTCATCAATAGCCAGTTGTTAAAAGTGTAATTACAATAGTTAAAATACTCCAAGTGTAACATGCACATAATGTTCATCAACTACTAAACTCACTAATGATTCATAAAAATGTCTGTCAGCTCCATCTAATTGTCTTGATTTTAGTGTGACAAGTTCAGCAAATCCATCTACTTGTAATACATGTGCAGATACCTATTATTTGGATTCTGGTTCATGTATATCTTGTACTACAGCAAATGCCAGTTACTTAAGATGTTCAAAGAGTAACAATACAATTACTGTTATTCAATGTTAAAATGGATATTTCTTATTAAGTGGTTCATGTGTATCAGCCAAAGATGCAAATACTTAAGCAACTAACCTTTCATTATAAACTTGTCAAACAATTGCTTCTGGTAGTTAATGTGCAACTTGTTTACCAGCTGCTTTAGGAACTANCAAACAATTGTGCTTAGATGAATTTAGTAACAGGTACTTGTGATACTTGTGTCGATGGATATTATTTCACTTAAAATTTCCAATTGTAAACTCTTTAATCATGGGATTACTACTAAAATATCAATTAAGTGATTTGCAATAAATGTCTCAATAATTGTAAGATATGTACATCAGGGTATCAATATAATTATATATTAAAAATAGTTATACTTGTGTTTAATGTATGGATTAATACTATTGGAGTCCAACATAATCTAAGTCTGCTTTATCAAGTACTCCAAACGATAGTAATGCTGGATAATGCTTGGCCTGTAATGTTAATATACCATTTTGTATAAAATGTTAAAATTCAACAACATGTGATAAATGTTTAGATGGATATTATTATACTGCTCCTTCAGATTCAACCACAAAAGGAACTTGTACTAAATGCATGAGCAATTGTTTATTATGTTAGAATGCAGACACTTGTGATACATGTGATACTGTCAACAATTATATATATTTACAAGCAAATAACTAAAATGTAATTAATATTATAATATAATTTAGTCATGTGCTTTATGTACTAGTATAACAGGATGCAAAACATGTTCAACTTAAAGTGGTCAATTAACATGTACTGCTTGTTAATCTGGTTATGTATTTGATTCTCAAAATGTTTGCAAATAATGTGATGTAAATTGTGCTTCTAATTCATGTTCTTATACAAATGATCAAGTATAATGTAGTAATTGTATTGCAACATTTGTATTGAAATCAAATACAAGTTGTAATTCATGTGGAACAGGCTGTTCATCTTGTTCATATAGTGATTAAGCTTAAACAAAAATAACTTGTGGATAATGCTTTGATAATTACTATAAAGATGATAACAATGTTTGCTAATTATGTTCCTCATCAATAGCCAGTTGTTAAAAGTGTAATTACAATAGTTAAAATACTCCAAGTGTAACATGCACATAATGTTCATCAACTACTAAACTCACTAATGATTCATAAAAATGTCTGTCAGCTCCATCTAATTGTCTTGATTTTAGTGTGACAAGTTCAGCAAATCCATCTACTTGTAATACATGTGCAGATACCTATTATTTGGATTCTGGTTCATGTATATCTTGTACTACAGCAAATGCCAGTTACTTAAGATGTTCAAAGAGTAACAATACAATTACTGTTATTCAATGTTAAAATGGATATTTCTTATTAAGTGGTTCATGTGTATCAGCCAAAGATGCAAATACTTAAGCAACTAACCTTTCATTATAAACTTGTCAAACAATTGCTTCTGGTAGTTAATGTGCAACTTGTTTACCAGCTGCTTTAGGAACTACTCCTCCTTAAAATGGAGTATGTTCTTATTGCAATTGTAGTTCAAATAAGGGTGATTGCTCAGCTAATGTTTCAGGTACTCCAGTACAATCTACTGTCACATGTACACCTAAACCAACTTGTTTACCAGGCTTTTACCTTGATGGATCATCTTGTCTTCCATGTGCTTCTACTGCTGGCGATCTTTTAGGAGGTGTAAGTTGTTGTGGCCTTGGATTGATTTATACATCAGGAGTACCTAATAAATGTGTTTCATAAACAAATGCAACTGGAAAAGAATAGTTATTAGCATCAAATTCAAATGCTTTCACTTGTGATGTTGGATATTATTATAACTCTACTGATACAAAATGTCTCACTTGTATAAATAATTGTGATATTTGTGTTGATGGTACAACATGTAAAACCTGTTCTCTAAATTACACATTAATTAAAACTAGTAATAATGGTGTATAATGTGTGTTGATCAAGTGTCTCGTAGTTGATTCAACTAAGGGATGTACTTCTTGTTAATATGGATTTTATTTATCAAACATTAATGGTATTGGATATTGCTTATAATGTTTGTCTCCACTTACTAATGTAATGCATATCATCTATTTTCTATTAGTCAATTTGCAGACCATATTCAAATTAAGCACCTAATGTGACCGTTGCACCTGCCACTTCAGTAGCAGTTTCATCTAGTCCAGCTTATGTTTGTGCCAATGGATATTATTGGAATAGTTAATACTGTTCTCCATGCAAATCATTACCAACTTCTGGTAAACCTGGTGCTAGTGCAAATGGTTATTGTGTATGTTCCACTTACTTAGACTGCACTTCTATAGTTTGTAATTCTGGATATGCTTTAGTTCAAAAGTATAAGATAATATTTATTTATTAGTACATGTCAAGAAATACCTAAAGGATGTTAAACATATATGATTAGTAATGATGGTACAACTTTAATTTGTACTGCATGTATTGCTTCCTATTCACTTGTTTCAAATGCTTGTATACCAAGTCAAAATTGTTAATAATTCAGTACTACAACTGGTAATTGTGTTTAATGTGCTTCTGGTTTCTATTTGAATTGGTAGTATAACTCCTTTGTTTCATAAGTTTCAACAGATGCAAATCCATATTTCAATAATTTCCCCTCTTAATGTTCAGCTTGCACAATATCTAATTGTCTTACATGCACTGGTCCAACAGTTTGTACTACTTGTCAAAATGGATATTTCTGGCAAACATCATAATATCTTCAATAACCATCAAATGGATCATAAGGAAGTTGTTAACCATGTATGTAAGGATGTTAGACTTGCTCAAATAATCAATCATGCTAAACTTGTTTCTCTGGATATTATATGGTTTATCCATATTCAGGAATTAATTATTGTTAACTTTGTTCAACTGTTCCTGCAATATCTAATTGTTTGACTTGTGATACTTCCTAAACTGCACCACATGCTTAATCATTAATCCCAACATGTAGATCTTGTCCATCTGGATATTACTTATATAGTGGAAAATGTGTTGTATGTACTGGTGGATGTTTAGCTTGTGATGCTGATAATAGTTGCACATAATGTGTTTCTCAAGGATATGCATATGATTAAGCAAATAAGAAATGTGTTGCTTGTTCTACAATTACAGGATGTACTTCATGTTCTTATAATGGAACTCAATTAAATTGTTCAGCTTGTTAAGATTTGTATTATCGTAACACTACCAATAACATAACAACATGTTCATTATGTAGTGCATTAGCTGGTAAGAACTATTTAAGATGTGTATCATCAACCAGTCCAACATAATGTTTAGATAATTTCTATTTGAATGGATCCAGTTGTATGCCTTAAATTTCTAATAATAAATGCTTAACCTATGATAATAATTCAGGTTGTACATCTTGTATTACTGGATACATTATAGTTGGTAATACATGTTAATTATGTACATCAACCAATGCTTAATGTATAAAATGTTAAGTAATTGCTAACACTGGATCAAGCTAATCTGCTTCTTTACAATGTGCTGCCTGTTAAACTGGATATTATTTAACAACATCATATGGATGTACAGCATGTCCAAATGTTAAAGGATGTGAAGTTTGTAATTCTGCTGGATGTTAAACTTGTTCTTCTGGTTATTATCCTACTACAGTTACTACAGACACCAATAATTCAACTGGTACATCAACATCTAATAATACTGTCACTTGTAACAATTGTGTTTCCAACTGTTAAATTTGTTAATAAGCTAATGTAATACAATTTACTTATTTTTAGTCTTGTACCAAATGTGCTGATGGTTATTTCCTTGTTACTACTACTTCCTCTGGAACTACTTCAGTTACTACTAGTAGTTGCTTTGCTTGTCAACCAGAATGTCAAACTTGTGTTGCTCCAGGCACCACTTGCACATCCTGTATAGCTGGCTATGTGTTCTAGAATGGAGGTTGTGTCACTTTAGCTTAAGCCAATTGTTATTCTGTTGGAACCAATGGCTGTGCTATTTGTAAATATGGTTACTATTTAAATAATGGAGTTTGTTATTAATGTCTCAACCCATAAGCAGATGTATTAATTATTTATATTATCTTAGTTTCTATGTACAAATCCAGTAGACAACCTTTTCACATCAGCAACACCATAATAATAATGAAAAATTAAAATCATATTCAAAATAATTATATTTTATTTCCAATATAGATATAGATATATCTCATGATCTATCTTCAAAGATCACACGTGAAGGCTTTGGATTCTATATCCAATTATGTCTATAAAAAGTTGGTCTCTATTTGCCTGCAATTGAACTAAAATTCTATTTTTTCAATCATTACCTTTCTGCAAATATATACCAAATGGCTGCAGCAGTCAAAATATTCAATTTTCCTACTCTATTTGTCCAATACCATCCTCTCTAAGCATAATAAACTACTGCGCTGTTCTAAAATCGTGCAATTAAACTTGAATTCATTATAATTTTATATTAATAATAATAATGTTTTTTTATTTATATATTTTCTACATTTTGCTTAAATTTGATATTAAAATATTGAAATTATTTATAATATATTCTATCATTAAATAGGTTATCAATATTAATATAAATTCTACATTATTTTAATGAATTGATTTTTAAATAAAAAAATAGAAAACCTTAATTCATAGAATCAATTATTTTGATTATATAACTGAATAAATTAAACAAAAGAACATTTTATTTAATTTATGAAATAATTTTTTAAATATATCCAAAAAATGTAATTTTAGTTTCAAATAAGAATTATTTTATTTTTGAATTTATAGAAACAAAAAATCAAAAATTAGAATATATATAATACAAATATTCTAATATAATTAATATTTTTTTTAAATATGAAATTTAAGATATAAAATTTAGCGCCTTTTTGTTCATATTAATTATTTAATCAATGAATTAACATCACATTTAGTTGTATATTAACAAAATATCATTTAAAATTTATATTTAGAGTTGTCGATATTTTGAATTATTCTATAAAATTATATTTTTTACAATTTTTTATCAAAATCTTATAGTTCTGTTATCAATTTTTTATTAAAATTTTTGAATTTCTAGAATTAGATTACGATAAATTTTAAAAATTTTATAAAAAGTAATATCTACCTACTCATCTCATTTTTAAATCATTTTCAAAAGATGGAAACTTCATAAACCATTTTTCAAATAATGTCAATAAAAACTTTGGAAAAAAATAACACAATATAACTAAAAACCAACCTAAATTGTAAAAATTACAAAATACAATCTCGTATTAAATCTTAAGTAACAAAGGAATATTCGAATATCTATTTTTCTTGAAATTTAAATCAAATATAATAATATTTATACAGTAGTCTTCTTTAAGAAATAAAGAATAAAATTATTGTAATTTTGATATTACTTTAACTGTTTTATAAAGAGCATAGATGTCGCTAATAAAGAATATCGCATAAATGTTTTTAAACCTAACATTACTGATCTAAATAAATTATTGAAAAATTTATATATGCTTGTAAAAGACTTTTTTTTGATAATCATAAGAATTTTTAAATTGAGTAAAGATGAAAAAGAGGTTTTAATAAAATAATTGTGAAATATATTTGTGTAGGTAATTGATAAAATATGGAAAAAATCATGAAGCTTTTCATTTTTTAAATTTTTTGATAATCTTTTTGGCCAAGGAGTGTTTAAATCTTAAAAGGTCGATCAAGCTTAAGGTATCAGACTTAAATTCAAAGACAAAAAGGTTTTAAGTCTAAACAAAATTCAGAGGTTAATTAATTAAGACAGTTCTTGGTTCTTCAATACTTTATTAATTCTCTTCGCTTTTATTTAAAATTTTGGTGTCATTTTGCTCTGTTTTCATAGTCAAGTATAAATTTACAGAAAAAGTTAAGCTTAAAATAAATTATTAAAATAATTAATATCATGATTATGTTATTGTCATAAACTTATAAATTTTGATGATGCAAGTATATTGATTTTTTATTATTTATTCAATGTAGAAATGCATATATTTATATTAAATTAGAAAAAGTGAAACTTCTATAAAGAATTAGATATTAAATATTTCTCTAATTTTAATTATGTAATTTAGTATTTTCGAAATGCAGATTTCATTATTATCTATACACAAGTTATTAAATCTTAAAATATCATGAGATGTGATGATAAGAAAATACAAACGATAATATTTATGTTATATTTCTAATTGAAAGTTATTTGAAAAATTTAGAAATTTGTTAGACTATCCCCTTTGTTTAATTTCTTTTGTGTTAAATGTCGATTATTTAAAATCAAAAAATCTAACTCGCTTAAGTTTAGATATATCACAAGATTTCAAGCATGACTGGAAGTATTAAGCATTTACTTTATTTTTAATTTTAGTTGTACATTATTAATGAAACACATGTTTTATTATATAAAATTAATATTAGATAATGTATAATTCTAAAAAGTATAAATATTCAAAAAGTAGTAAAATTTTTGTTAAGTTTAGTTTATAAAAATTCTAAAAATATCAAAAGATAAAGGTTATTTGAGATGATAAAAATAATGTATAATTATTAATAAATATGACTAATTACAAAGCGAATATGAAATGATATTAAATCATTATGTTGCAGGTTCTTGACCTTTGACTAATTTGAAGAGCTTTGATACTTCACCGACTTTGGAGAATTCAATACAGAATGCTTATAACTAAATGTTATATATTCTTACATCAGTGAGAATGTCTTTGGTAACAAATGCCTTTTATTTGAGCATTTACTAAATAAATACAGAAACAAATCTAACCAATTTATTTTGTTATTATTTTTCCTATAATTCACAATTTTTGAATTACCTTAATGTTATTACAAAAGTCTATGCAATAATTAATATATTGTGTAATATATTCTTATGGTAATTTGAGTTCACCAAATAATTGAGCAAATAATTCGAGTGTATTTTAAGTGACATCAATTTAGATGAAGACTTCTAAAAATCTAAAATATTTAATAAGTAAAATACTCTTCAAAGCCTTCTAAATTGCATATTTAAATCAATAAAAAATGTGCAATCTCTTTATTCTTTTCAATAATAATAGGTAATCTTTGACAAGTGAATCCGCAATTTTTAAGTAAATCTTTTTCATTTTAGAGATAATCAAATAATAGCTAAATGATAATAAGTATTTTATATACTCTTTATTCTTCATCATTAATTTCAGTTGTACATGTTTTTTAGATAATCTCTTTTACTTGACTCAATTTATCTTGATTAATTTCAAGAGTATAATTCCATTGTACATTCATTAAAAAAATATTGTCATTCCATAATGGATCAGATATCACAATATTTGGAATTGGTCTAAGGTAATCAGTCTGGTATTAAGCAAAATCAATATTAAGAGATTTTATTTTATCCATGTAAGTATATGAATTAATAATAAATAATCATGTTGGTACAAATGACTATTGAACAGTTAGATTGGAAAATGCATTGACTGATACATTCATGATAGGTAAAAAATGCCAACCTTCCAAATTAATTTTCTAAGGTAATTGAGATTCCTAAATATTTATTGGGATTTGGCAAATTACTGGAACTGACAACCAAGTTAAGAAGGCATCCTATTTGTGATTAAGATCATTTCAATACAGCAATAGCTTCCATTTATAAAAAGTATTAATTTCTAATAACATTAGTTTTAATAGTAGCTCTTAAATTTTTAGGTATTTCTAATTAAGCATTTTGTCTTTCTAATTTTTAACCAGAATTAACACCACCTAAATTCTATTGGAATACTTTAACATTTTCTATAATTCTTTCAATTTCATCATCATCAATAAATGTGAGTTTATTAATCAATCTAGCTTCTACTCTACTAATTGATCTTTAAGAACGAGTGTTATCTAATGTGTATTCTATTTATATTTGTTCTCCAGGAATAAAATTATTTTTGTTTAATTTCAAAGATAACTCAACAGTTCCTCGATTTAAACATAAATATTAAACGATATTCCCTTCACATTATCTAAATTGTTCACATTCTGAAGAAACTCTTCCATTAATAAAAACATCAGCACTTTCCATCATCAATGTACTAGCTTCATCAGGTAAATCAACTCTTAATGTCACTTTATAACCACATTTTGCTTATTTTAATCCTAATTTAAAGTTAAATAGATACCATCTTCATTTTTATACTAAAAACTTGAAGACATATTATATTAAGTAGGAATGCTAAATTAAAATTTATAATCTCCTGTTTTCACTTATCCAGTATATAATTCTTAAGTGTAAACAAAAGATTCATGTGTTCCATAATGTCTAATTACTCTAAACATGATATCACCATTAAGCTCATATTTCTTTTATGTTTGCTTTGGTTATCTAAATGGGGAATCTAAAGTCACTTATATTCTTTGAGCTTTCTCAACTAATTTCTCTGGAATCATTTAAGGATTACTTTGATCATAAGGTATCTTAAGATACAAATCTATATAATTACCTACTTTTTTTCAATTATCTTTGAATACATTTTGGTTTAAAAAGTTAAAACTATTTAAGCCTTTGGTATTTCTTCTGTTATTCTAATGTAGCATTCTCCTCTGATTGGATCTCCTGCTAAAGTAACAGGATCAAAAAACTTAAATAAAACATTTCTATTCATTAAACTAATTAAAGATTTAATTTAATCAATAATCATAGTCATATAACTCTTTAAACTCTTTAAATTCTTTAAGCTCTTTAAACTCATTAAACTCTTTTAGAAGCTGTTAAACTAAATTACTTATTTTTTCAACATTAGAATTATTGTTCAAATTCGCAAGTTTATTAGGAACATTCTTTTTTTAAAAGTATAAATAAACTTAGGCTTCATATTCACTTGATTAAAATTATTTCATTATTAATGCCAATGCTAATTTAATTTAATAAATATATTACTTTCTAAAGATAAAAATACTATATTATTATCAATATCATCTAAACCTTAAATTTCATAATCCAACAAACCAGAATCAATCATTATTATTAATTATTTCTTTGTACAAATAACTAAAAAGTTTTTAAATGCCTAATAGATTTCTCTTCTAACATCTACAACATCATTTTCTAATAAATCAAATACAACATCTAATAATTTTTAATTTGAAATTATTTAATCTAAATTTAATTGAGAAGAAGCCATTAAATTATTAAAAATCATGCTTCCATAAATTCTATAATATGTATATTATGTATTTTTAAGTAATTTATAGAGTGCATCCATTATTCCTAAATCCAACATTTTAGCACACTCATCAAATTCTGAAGTGTATGACAAATTTACTAAAATAGATAGAGATAATTTTGAGATATTTTTATCTTTATTAAAAATTAGGTTCATGATAGTTTACATTATTCTCATAGTCAAAATAAATTAAATGTTCTAGATATTTCTACTAGCATTCTCAAGTATCATTAAACCTTTTTCTTTTACTAATTAATTAAAAAATATCAATTACAGTTATTATCTACACTTTCAATCAATTTTGAGGCAATTCTCAAAATAGCAATTACTTAATTATCATCATCAATACTCTTTGTAATACTTGCTAATATTCTTAGTGCCTTATCATTATTTCTATTTATTTGTAAAGACTTTAAAACACTTTCAATTATATCATATTTCGAGAATTTTGGTGAATGCAATTCTACTAATTAATTTAAACCTCTTAATCCCTATTAACAATATTTACATTAATTTATACATTATCTTTCAATAAACTTGAATCAGAATCTATCCAAGATTTGTAAATCTCACAAACTTAATCAAAATGTTCATTTACATAGATCCTTGACTTTTTCTACCTAACTAATTATCTAAAACAATTTGCTGCTTTTGTAGCAATCACAGAATATTTTGGATCAGAACCTAAACACATAGAATCAACCAATGTTTTGATTATTCTTAAATGTTCTGCCCATTCACAAAATTAAGATGGATCATTTATGGCAGTTGATTGAACATCATCTAAAATTGATACCATTATTTAATATTCTTCATCGTTCAATTCTTCAAATCTCATCAACTTATCCACTATATCAATTAATTATTCAATTGGATAATGTTTTACTGGGTTATTAACTAATCTCTTCAATTTAAATGTCTATTCTAAAGTTCTCTTTCTCAATTCTGAATGAAAGTTCTCTCTCATCTCTCGAAGTCTATTTGAACTCATTTTAGAAGAAAATTATTAAAAATTCTAATTTAGAAGGTTCTATAATTTACAATTAAAATTAAATATATGCTCCTAAATATTTGATTTCTATTTAATATTCATTATATTATTAAACTAAAAGAGTCTTAATCTCTCTACATAAAATAACCTTACAATAAAAGGAAATTTTTATCTAAAAAAATAATAATTGCATACTATTACAAATAAATCTAATTAATAGTTAAGCTATGATATTTAGTTAAATTTATAATATGCAGATTTTATGAATTAAAAATCCTATAATCTTGGGCTTATTGATACCAACAATAAAAGTATAGTATATTCTAATTTCCTCATAATAAAATAAAATTAGAAAATAGTTACTTAAAGTTAATTTTTCTGATTTGTATAATAATAATTTAATTGTTCTATTAGATATCAAATATTTTTTTCTTTGAATTGTAGTAATATTAAAAAAATTCTAATCATAGGGATTAAATTATATGATTGTGACAATTTAAATTTCTATTTATATGTTAAATTTACAAAATTAATATTGATTATAATTATTTAATACTTTTTATTAAGTTAGAATAGATGTTAAATTATTAAATTAATATAATACTAAAATTATTTATTTTAAATCAATTTATTTTCACTTTTATTTCTTATCTGATCTAATTGTTAATTATATCTATTGTTATTATTACATTTCTAAATTTTCTATCTTTACAACTAAATCATTTAATATCTACATTATTGTCTATTATTTTTCTTATTCACATATTTATATATAAAATACAATTGTAATTTCGTTAGAATTATTTTAATTACTCATCAATTTCTAATCTCAATGATTCCTATTCCTTTTTAATACTTATTTCCCACTCTTACTTTAATTTATATTAACTATAATACTCTCATTACTTAGTCCTTCTTATCTCAATTATTTTAATTAAGCCCTAAATTAATGAACAAAAGTAAACTTACTGATGCTCCAATAACATATTTATTTAAACATCATGCTTATTCAAAGTCCTTTGTACTTAATCTTCCAATATATCTTTATCTACTGCTGAATATGTTCTCTAATGTGTTGATCTAATTGTTTATCTCAATTTCAAAATCTCATTTTCTACTTGATTTTTCATCTATTATAATTATATTATATGTCTTTACATTAGATATAAAACGCTCTGTCATTTTAGTAATCAATTCCACAAGTAATTTTTGAACTTAATCAATCAATTATTCCCTTTCTAAAACATTCTAAATCTATTCAACCATTTATGATTGTTTATCTCTTTTTCCCAAATACTAACATTTCATATAAATATATACAGAATCTACTGCTACTTGTACTTTCTTTTAAAATTCTCTGTCTTCGTTCATAAATTAATATTAATATATTTTAATATTAAAAGATGGGAGCCTGTTCTGGCAAATAACCACCTAAAAAATAGGTTTCTGAACCTAAACCAATTGTGTAAATTCAATCACAAAAGTAAAATTTTCTTGCCATTTGGAATGAACTAAATTCATGTCTTAATCTTGTTGATAAAAATATCGATAATGAAAAAACCATTGCCAAGCTCAAAACTCTATTTCAAACTAAAGGAACTATAGAAGAAATGATTGTAAATTAAAGTAAAAGAGGAGGCAGAAATGTAAATTAAGATCCTTTATAAGACACTGCTTTCTAATATAATCTTTATTTATAAGTAGATAAAATAAATAGAATTCTTTCCGATTATCTACTTATTGATAGAGCTTTTGAAGTAAAAAATAATCAACTTTTTGATAAATTGTAATAATGTGTTGATAAAATTGAATAATATCGATAATCAATAAAGACAAAGCAAGGAATCTGGAAATAAAATCAAAGTACAAACTTTAGTAATACCAATGTGTATTGAACAACAATATATTTAATTAATTAATGATTACAAAATTAGATTTTATTATATTACTTAATATAATACTAAAATTTAAGTAAATCATTATTCTAGATTCTCCAAAATATATAGAAATATTTAAATAATTAAAATATATTATAAGATTCCTTTTATAAATATGGTATTTTCTTTATAAAAAAATCTAATCCAAATATAATACAATATATATATTATAGTATTTTCGTTCTTGTTATTATAAAATCATATATTTAATATTTTACACTGGAAATAAAAAATAAATATATATTTTATTTATGGTGAAAGTGACAAGTAATAATTGTTAATTAATGGTATTAAACCAAGATAAATAATTTTCCTAGATGTTCCATTTAATAATTATATAATTTTAATCTAATCAATGTAACATTATGCCTATGAAAGCAAGTTTCTAAAGTTTTATACTATTCGAATAATTTAAATTTGTGAATAAAAAACTTTAAAGATTGGATTGAAATAAATCAGAGAGTATTCTAATAGGCAATCTAAAATTAATAAAAATAAGAATAATAAATCAAAAGAATAGGTATATCGAGGTGAAATCTATATATCTACAAGAAAATATATTCAGATACTTTCTAAACTTCCAAAATTAACTTAAAATATTAATTTATCTGACCATTTAAAAAAAAAAATAGGATTGAATTCTCAGATCACAACTAATGTTAAGGAAAAAGTATCATTTATAATTGAAAAAAAGAACTAAGAACAAGAAATCTTATATCAACAAGGTATATAAAATCTCAAAAATCATTAATTTATAAGAGGTGGAATTTAAATCATTTATAGTACTACATAGGTCGCAATCCAAAAATCAATAATAGAAATTAAAGTATTGATGGTAATTGCAATGCCTGCACTTATTGTTACTGTTTTTCTTAAATTAATTAAGTTAAGGTGAATTAAATTTATTTTTAATAGAATCAGCATATTAAAAATTATTTATTATTAAAACCTGTATCATTTTATTCTAAATTCAGCATTCCATTTAATTCATAATTTTTATATATAAGTATCAATAAAATTAAATATACTTATGTCTTTTATTATGGTTAATTAATAATAGCAAAAAGATTATATATTTAAATAATTCAATCTAAAAATATTTATGTTTGCAAAAGGAAAATGAAAATGTGCCTATAGATTTCTGGCTTAGTATTATTTTTATTTTTTTTGAAATTAAACATAGGGCATTTTAATTTATTATAAAATAAATTATTAATACTTATTTTTATGTTTCACCTTGAAATTTGAAATTTCTTCATAATTTCAATTATAAATATTTTAGGCACTCTCAATCACTTACTTTAAAAACTAATTGTAATAAGCAAAACTTTTTTGAAATTAAAAAGTGTGGATTATTTGAATTAAAAAATAATTATTAAATATATTTAAATTAAACAAAATACTCATGTTCTAATTCATTCCCATTAATTTTTTTTAATAATACAAATGAGTAATTGTAGTATTTTATATATACAATCAAAAGTATGGTAATCTGAAAGAGTTCTATATATATAATGATTCACTCAAGATTATTCTTACTTTAAACTTTTCAATAAATATGAATTGTTTAAATAATTTTATTATCAAGCTTTATCTCTTATCTTAAATTATTATTCATAAATTATAAATTTAATTATAAATATTTCTTGATATATCAATAATCATTTGATTAATTTATATATATTAAAATAAATAATTATAGAGATGGCTTTATTAAGATATCTTATTTTAACTTGAATATCAATTATTTTCATAGCTAAATCAATATAAAAGAATAATCCCTATTCAAAATTATAGATTTATAAATTTCATCACAACTACTAATAATTATTTAGATTCCATACATTTTCTATTTCTCAATCTCTTAAACTCAATTACAGAATTTATTATTCTTCCAATTAATCTTTAAATTGATAGTTGAAGTAAATAATTCTGTATTAACATCAAAACTCTAATATTATTATAATAACTTTAATCTCTTTACATAGATTTCCATCTTTCAAATTTTATCTATCCTTATACAACTCTAATTTTGTTCTCACGATTTTATTAAAAAATAAATAATTATATTTCTCTTTTATTTAATAATTAAATTAATGCAACCATTTTAACATTCTAGAGATGATTACCTCAATAAATAAGTCTATAAACTTTTAACAAAGGCTTCAAATATGCATATGAAAACCTGTGAAGTTAAGGTTCCAACAAGGAGAAATAGCATGATTGAATCATATATTTTAACTAATGACATATAACAATAGAGTGATGGAATTAGAAAATAGAAAATAGATAAGAATAGATCATGCAGCAATTTATAAGATTATTAAGAAGAATCCAATAGCACATTCAAATAATTATAATTTTCTTAACTCCCTATTATGAATAAGAATACTAAATTAATTATGCTTAGGGTTGAAAATAAATTAAAGAACTTTAGGTTTGCTAAAGAGAATGATCATACTGTTAGTACATCTACAATAGCTAAAATGCAATCTTTTTGTTTAGATAATTAATGCTTTGATTTTTATAGTTGTACCGATCTCTTACTTCTTAAGTATCTTATTTATTTACTTCTCCAAGAAATAAATTCATTAAATTAAAACTATTCAGATTAATAACTTCTAATTTCTCAAAAATGTGTGAACAAAGATACAATTGAAACCCTGCAAGATAATGTTGATGATTTAAAAAACAAGAAACACAGAAATTCTATTGAAAACTTAGACAAGTAAATTAATAAGATGTAAAGATTAATTGGAGAATAATTATCATTGCCTAATTATGATATGTTCACAACACCTTAATCAAATATCAAGAAAAGTGAATTTGTATTTCAACCATCCAGTAATACTTAAAAAATAAAATGTGATTAGTCTTAATCCTCATTTAATAATTAAAAAATGATATAATTTTAAATTGATGAATTGAAAATGAAAAATTAAACTATCACAAAATTAACTTCTGGGATTAATAACTTAGAAGAAGAATTAAAATTTGTTAATAATTAAATATCTGATACTAATCTGAATTTATAAATCTCATAAAAATCTTTAACAGTTAAAGATCAAGAAGTAATTTAATATCTAAATAGATTAGCTTAAAGATCTAATAAAGAAAAATGAAAAATTAGTAGAAACAACTAATTAAACAATTTAAGAAAAAAATCGATTATAAGACTAATATAAATCAGTAAAGAATGATTATGAATTACTTTAGACTAAATATAATGAACTGTAAATATATAAATTTAATTTAGATAAAAGACTAATCAAAGTATTTTGAAGGAAAGTTAAATATAGAAAAAATCATTAAATCATACTGTTGAATCATCTTAATAGTAAATGAAAAAAGAAGAATAAAAATTATAAAAAGAATTGCTTGATAAAAATAAACTGATAGTAAATATAAATTGAATAAACTAGAGATTATTGTCTGAGGATGGTAAGATCTTAGGTTAATACTTAAAAGATATCTCTTATAAAATATAATAAATTCCTACTGATTAGATTCCTTAAAATCTGCAAATGCTTTAAAGAGAATTATACTTAAATGAATGTTTAATAAATACTAAATTAAATAATATGCATCTTGCTGAAATAGATTTAGTGAAAATTAATAATGTTAATAATGAAGATAAAAAATCAAGAAAATTTATGAATTGTCATAATTAATTGATAGATTAAATGAAATCATTTTAAATTCATTCTGATTTGATGGCAATGATGGTAATCTAAAGTGAAATTATTGAAAAGTTTCTGTATTGAAAATATTTTACAAAATCTAATTTAATTTGTTAAAATTATAATAATTTTTGTCTCTAATTAAAATATAATCATTTTTTTAATTATTTCTGAAGAATCTCATAAATTTAATGATTATTTGTAATTATATATGATTAGTATTATTATTTTTAGGAAATTTAATTCAAAATATTAATATTTTATTCTCATTACTACTTTGAAATTAACCTTACACTGAAATCTAATCTTTAATAGTTAAACTAAAAATTAAATAATGATCAAATTGCCATCTGAATATATTTAAATTTAATTATATATCATTAAGTAATCAAATTCATAACCAGAATCAAAGCCAATTTAACCCTTAATCTCATTTTATATAATAATAGTTATAATTGTTAAGAATTAATATTAAGAGAAATAAAAATAAACACCTCTTTTTTCAATATAAGTGTTGATTATTTCAGGGTATACAATTTATTTGTAAAATATTCAATTAATAGAATCAATTAATGATGATATATATGAGTTTAAAACAGAGTTAAATTAAAAAATTCATAATATTTTTTAAGAACATGTAATATTATAGCTATATAATTGTATTTACTGAAATTTAATCATTCTACTTTGTAAAAAATTAATTCCCAAATAAAAACGTAAATTTAACCTTTTTTTTTCCTAAAATTAAGAGGTTATTATTATTCTTTATAATATAAGATGGAATAAATTCACAAACATTAAAATTAAAATCTTCTTGACTTTCCTATAATTTAACAAAAGTTAAATTCTTAAAATTATAATTTTCATCCTTTATTCAAGTCCACTGTTCATTTAATTTAAACCTTTCATACTTCAATTTGAATTTATTTATTCTTACAATATAGATAGGTTTAAATATTACTCTTTAATTAATAATTGATGATCTATAAATTTATATTTGTTTTAAGGAGAAATTCAAATATTATAATCATATTTAGTAAGGAAATCCTTAATATTAAAAATATCTAATTTATGTAGATAATATTTATTGATAATCTTATTATATAACACAATTTTATTATTATTTATTTCATAATTATTTTTGTATGAATATTAAACTAAAAACTAAAATAAGAAAGATATAATTGAAATCTCTATTCATAAATATTATTAACTGGTTGAAAAAGCTAATTTGAAATTGTCTAATACCTTCAAACTCTAATTTGTATCATATATTTATATTTAATACTTACTGGTCTCGGTCTAATAAAATAATCAAAAATGTAGAATTGAATATAACAGTTTTGTAATCATCTAAAGTACAAGTCTAATATTATGTTATTTAAAATTACTGAATAGAATACATATGGATAATTCTCAGATTGAAGTTATTAATTTAAATCCTTAATTCAATTCTCATTTAACTTATAACTTAAATGGCAGTATTACTTTAATATTTTTAATAAAATAAATATTAATCTCCATGGGTTGTTCCTAAAGCTTAACAGCAGATGAAGACCAATCTGTTATTCTTATTAAACCAAAGATTCTTAAATTCAAGTCTCATAATTCCAATATGGAATCTATTTTAAAGAAAAAATATACTGACGGAAGTGGATAGGCTTTTTACATTATCCCAACCGAAGGAGCTTCTTTATCTAAAGTTCCGGTTTTATAAGGCCCAGATTCTAATCAAATTGTTATGAGAAGACGATAATCTAAATTATCAAGTAGTCCAACAAATACAGAGAAAGTGCAAACTTTGCCTATGTCTTTTTGAGAATAATTGAATAAATGAATATATGTTGTCCATATTTTAATAAAATTCCAAAATAAATTATTTATAATTCATAAAGGAGAATCCCATGGTCCAAAAGAATTACTTTTATTCAAAACATTTAAAGGTGATTTAAAATTTAACCTTATTTTCTTAGCATTAGGAATATCAGTTTAAATCTTAGGCATATCAGTAACAAATCTCTTTTGGATATTAGTTTTACAGCAACTAATATTTGGGATTCTACTTTATAATTCTTTTTTCTTTGGTTTAATAACTTCATGAACTGAAATCAATCTTAAAATTGTTCCATATTCATCTGAAGGAGGGTTCCATGGTTTTGGAGTTAAAGTATTTTGAGATTTATAATACAACCGCAATCTTTACTAAAAAGTCATTTGAGGTATTTTTTATTAAGGAGGAGATTAACTTTAAGGTTAACCAACAAAAAGTTTTGGTTCTAGTGGAGGAATTGGAGATTATCGTTATCTTATCAAAGACTTGCTCATCCTCAATTTGTTTGTATTCATAATTTATTATAAATTAAAATATTATAGATTTTGTTAGGTGCTCAATACAGAGATTGTTAGAAATATATTGCCATTTGAGAAATATCAAAGACAAACTATATTAAGATAAAATTTTAGTCATTTTTGCAAAAGAAATAGAAGAGCGATTTTGAAAGTTGTTTTAACCATCTTAATAATATAGAATAATTGAATAAATACATAAAAAATGGATATAATTGAGGATAAAAAATTGCAGTCTCAAATTAGAATAATATAAATATCAGAAATTTTATAGAGTAAGCAATAGAAATGATAATATCAACTGAAGGTTAAAAGAAAATTTTATAATTCAAATCTTTATAAATTAGTAAATTGGATAACTTAAATCAAATCAAGGTTTTATTATTTATAATTGAAACTAAAATGTTTATGTTTCATTTCTATACTAGAATGTTATAGTTTATTAAACAAATATTTTAGTCATTTAATAATTTAAGTAATAATAAGCAAAAATATATAATAAAATTAGATTATTTTTGAAAAAAGGTTTTATATAAAGACTTTCTAAAAGTTTTTTATTTTTTAAAATAATATGTCAGTTAGAATAATATATGATTTAATTGGATCTTGAGAAATAAATATTTAATTAGATAAAAATGAATATAATTTATTAAATCATAAAATATATGATTAATTTTATTATGAGTAGATAGTTTATTTAAATATTATCCTTTTTGATCTAGTAATGCTTAAATAACTTATTTTTTGTTATTTCTCTATCTAATTCAGACTGTTCTATATACATTTTTAACTTTTTAGAACTTCTAAAATTCTGAGATTATTCATTTTAGATCAAAAATAAAGAAATTAATATTGTATTTAACAATTTGATGGACAGATATTGGTTGTCTGTATTAGAACTTAATTATTTTAATGTAATACTATAAAATTAGGTTATAATTCTTATTATTCTATGAGTTCTGTTTTGTGACATTATTAATTAAATTATGTTCGGATATATTTTAGCATGGTTATGCTAATTCATAGATAAGACTATTACACTAATACGTAAAAAGTTGAGACCGAAGAAGAAGTTTGAACTAGGACGTTACAATTAAATTCCAAGATCGAATTCATTTTAAACTGGGAAATTGAGATTATTGATAGGATTAGAAGGGACTCTTGTTTGTACAAGTCCCACTCCTATTCCAGGATGGGATAAAATCAATATTAAGTAAGATGGTTGTAATATAATTCTACAGATTTCCTTCAGGACTCACCCAAGATTTTTATGTTAAACATAGACCTTATCTAGATCAATTTTTATTGAGTGTGTCATAAATTTATGATGTCAGCATTTATACAACCCAAATATAAGACTTTGCTGCTCCAATAATTAATCGGTTTTGTATCCGAATCAAGCATAATTTTTACAGATAAAAGTAAATTTTATTTTTCACATAGTCATGTGTAATATCTCGTAATAAAATCACAAAGGAAATTAATATGACAACACCTAATCCTCATAATGTAATATTTGTGGATTATGATGAGGATTAATGTTTAGGTATAAATTTTAGAAATTTATAAAAGCAAATTCTGAGAATGCTTATCCAATTTAATAATATAATGGTTAAGACAATGATACTGAATTATTGAAATTGAAAGATTTCTTAATACAAGCAGAATCATACATGAAAGTTCGTAAAGAACAGGATCCTAGTGTTACAATTTAAGACATATTGTTAGAAATGACAGGAGAGGATTGATATAATGAATTATAAAATATGAATAAAACAATACAAAAAAATAATATTATTAAAATCTTAAGATTTATTATTAAAATGTAACTAATAAAGATAAATTAAGAAATTAAAGAAAATAATAATAATCTTTTGGTTTATTTTAATTAGAATCAATAAGATTGAAACTATATTGATAATTTATTTTCAATATTAATTATTATGAAAAGGTTATTTTCCCAAAATAAAATAGCTCATTCCACATAAGTGATTTCAAATGGAATTTACTTTTGATAATTCTAAAATGCATCAACTCTCTAATAATTAGTTAATTTAAAAAGAAGAAATTTCATTCCAAAAAAAGAATATAATTATAAAAAATTTAATCACCCAAGCAATAAAATTTTAAGTCTACAAAAAGTTTCTTCCAATCTAAACCATCTATTAAGGTTTCTTATAAACAATAAATATTAATTGTATCACAACCAACGAATAGCTCAATAGTTATACCAATCAGAAGTTCCATCAATAGAATTCATTAACCAAAAATTAGCTTAGAAATAGATAATAAATCAATAGAGTTGCTCCAAGAGTTAGCTAATAGTTAATTAAATAAAAATTCCCAAAAAAAGAGAAGAACACAAAAAGCAGTTGAATGCACAATATCTATTTAACATTTTTTTAATAGGATAGAAAATTATATGATTTAAGAATAGATTGGATAAGGTAGCTATGGGATTATTAAAGTTGGCATAAATTTATTAAATGGATAGTAGGTAGCAATAAAGATTTACGGAAGGATGAATATTATTTCAAAAAAAGAATATATAAGGAAAGAAATTTAGATTTTATCTACATTATTCATCCCGATATTGTTTAATTGCTTGATGTTATTTACACTGAAGTATATCTGTAAATATTTAGACCTAATAATTTGATCCCAGAAATTGAGGCAAAGAATATCTTTTTTTAAGTTGTCAAAGCAATTAATTATTGCCATTCTAAATATATAGCAATACTTCTATTTAAGTATAGATACATCGAGACATAAAATTAGAAAATATTTTAATCAGAGAAGATAAAATAAAATTAATTGATTTTGGTTTTAACTCATTTATTGAACATAAGACTATATCATATTTTGGAACTCCTTAGTAATCACTTTCTTAAAATTACTAGAGATGTGGCCCGATATATTATATTAAAAATGGATCATGGAAAACCTGCTGATATTTGGTCATTAGGAATATTGCTTTATGTAATGTTACATGGAAAGTTTCCTTTTCAAGGTAAGTAATAAAAAGAATAATTTTCTAAAATAAAAACAAGTATCTACTAATTTAATGGAATAACTTAATAAGCTTAAAAATTAATTAATTATATATTAAGAGTTAGGTCTTATGTGAGATGCAATATTAAGGAAGTATTTATTTCATCTTTAAACATTAGATAATAAAAGATTAATGGTTTCAATAATGGTTTTATAAAATATTCGATTCTGTAAATATTGTATTTAAATAATCGCATTAACCTTCAATTATCCTAACAAATAACTATATTGAGTTTAAAAATTAGTTGATTTCATATTACAGAATAAATATATTTAAATATTCTTGATTTGTTTTAGGAATTTTAGAATATTTATTAACTAATTTTAAATATAGAATGATAATTTACATAAAAAGAAATATTTTACATTAGTCCTACTTTTTATCCTCTTAATATTTAAGATGAGTAGTATTTTAGTGTAAGTTTTGATTGTTATTCCCAATAAGAATGACAAATATAATTTATTTTTTGAATTCTATTATTAAGCATTGTAAATTAGTATATTATTATAAGTTTTTGAATTATAGAATGATTATTTGGATATCATTATTGGAATAATTTATTTTCTTAATATTTTTATAATTATACGTCATTTAGTGGTTTATGAGCAGTGTGGACAATAAAGAATCTAATAAAATATATTATTTATGTAAATATTTGAGTCCATTGTCAAGTACTGTGATAAAAATGATATCAAACTAATAGAGTCTGGATGGCTGTTATACTGTCACGTATTAGGTGTGATTGGTATTATTTGGAGCTTCTTCTTAGAGTCAGAATTGTTCTACAAATATTACCTTGTAAATAATTTCATTAAATTTTAGGCCTTCTTAATTTGGCATTGTCTTACAGGATTAGGAATTACAGGTGGAGCTCATAGATTATGGGCACATAAATCTTATAAAGCATCATGGCCTATTAGAGTTTTCTTAATGTTTATGAATTCAAATTGTTTCTAAGGAAGTATTTGGCATTGGAGTAGAGATCATAGACTTCACCACAAGTTTAGTGTATTAACTTATATATATTTATAGGATACACCATTAGATCCACATAATTCTTAATTAGGATTATTTTTCTCTCATTGTGGATGGTTATTGAAAAAAAAGAGTAAGGAGTTAGTTGATGAAGGAATGAAACTTGATTTATCTGATTTGAAAGCTGATTCTGTTGTAATGTTTTAAAAGAGACATTATTATAAAATGGCTTTCCTTTGGGCTTTTATTATTCCAACTTTAACTGGTTTGATAATAAGTGATAAATGGTTCTTCAGTCTTTTGTTCTTAGGCTTTGGAAAATACATCTTTACATTGAATGCAACATGGTATTGTTTAATTTTTAATTTAGGTGTGTTAATTCAATCTGTCATTTTTATGGAAGTAGAAAATGGAATCCTAGAATTGAACCAAGAGATAACATTTTTGTTTCATTAATTACTTTAGGTGAAGGATGGCATAACTGGCATCATGAATATCCAAGAGATTGGAGAGCCTCTAAAAATGAATGGTGGATGATCAACCCAACATGCTCATTTATTTAGATGTGTGAATATATTGGATTAGTAAATACAAAAAGAGCAAAATAAGATGAAAAAGTAAAATATGATTATTGATTTATTATCATTTGAAACACAAATAAAATTCTTAATTTTAATATTATTTCTATTCTTAAACTGATATTTTAAATCATATTTAATATACTTAAAAATTAAATATAGTTTCTTAATTATTAATAAAGATAAACATAATTATGCTTTCTAATTTATTAATTTTCATTAATTGTAATACAAAAAATATTTAGATTAATTATTTGATTAAATGCTTTTATTTTTTAAATTTAATTTAATGATTTAAATTCAGATTTAATAGTTATGTCTTTACATAACAATTATTCAGTCAATAATTTTTATGATATTAATGGATTATTATCATCAATAATTGATGATTTTAATTGATAAAAATTGAATAATATAACTAAAGCTTTTATACTTATATAAAAATTTTATCTAATTTTATATAAATATATTTTTTTTTATATTCTAATCAAGATAATATTCAGGTAAATTAGATTTTAAATTATTCATAATATTTAATAGAATAAGATTGAATTATACAATTTAAATAATTCAAATAATCTTTCAATTTTTACATCTTTACTTAATATATATAGACTATTTCTTAAATTAATTAATATAGACATTAATAAAAATTTAAAGAGAATTATCTACTTTAAATAGATAGGACTGTGAAACTAGTTTTATTTAAATTATAATTATTTATGATTAATAATTCATCAAAATACAACACATCTTTCCCACCAACTTGGATAATTAGAATTTGTTTTTGAAGCTCTTATCTAATTAAATTAATTAATAGATTTACCATATATTTTCTTCCCTCAGCCCATAATAACATAATCAATCCAAATGGAATAGCACTTACTCCATAATGAATGAATAATAGATCTCTTGTTCCAAATACAGTATTGAAAACTTAAACATATGAAAGTGATATTGTCAACATGAATTCAACCCAAAATCCAAAAAACATATAGTAATTTGAGAATCCTAAGAGAATATAATAATTATATACCTTAAAATGTTCCTGCATTTTTAAGAGATCTCAAACCTTAATAATTAGTTATTTGACCTATAACAATACCATAGAAAAATGAAGTTTAAGCATAATTTGATGCTTCAGTTGAATAACAATAAGGTCTCTTAGTGTATGGAGAAACTAAATTAACATTACAAGGTGCCCATTCAAATACTTCTTCTAACTTTCCATCCTTACATTCAATATAAGCCATTCTTAAATCCAATTTAGCATGATTAGCATAAATCCAATCTATTTCTTCAACTTCTTCAGAAGGAAATTCACCATCACATTTTCCATCTTTATAAATTCTTTTCAAATTTGAATTACCAAACCAAGGGTCATTTGGATCATATACATCAGTATCTTTTGGTAAAACTGTTTCTCTTACACCTATAAAAAGTAAATCTGATGGATAAAATCCAAAATCATACAATGTTACAAACCATTAGAAATATCCACAATATGTAGATAGAACTCCATTCTACACATATGCATATACTAATAACTTCCCACTTACAAGATGTTCATCTTGAGATCTAGGTCTTCTTGTCATAATGTCTATATCTGCTTCTTCAAAAACATATGTAGTGCAAGGGAAGATATCTGTTCCAATATCAATACATAAGATTAATACAGTTGTTAAAGGTAAAGGAATTCTAAATATAACAAATCCTAAAAATGGAAGTAATTCTGAAATATTAGAAGTCAAACAATAAGCAATACTTTTCTTTAAATTATCAAAGATTTTTCTACCTTCTTCAATTCCAACAACAATACTTGAAAAATCATCATTCAATAGAATCATATCAGCAGCATCTTTGGCAACATCAGAACCAGTAATTCCCATAGCAATACCAATATCAGCTTTTTTAATTGCTGGACTATCATTAACTCCATCTCCTGTCACAGCAACAATATGTCCTCTTCTTTAACAACCAGCTACAATAATTAATTTTTATGCTGGACTTGTTCTTGCAAATACTAATTATGGTTTACTTAACCATTCTTATAATTATCTACCTTTATCATCTTCTGGTAAACCTTCATCTTCAATAGCCATTCTGGTTAATTTATCTCCATGAATTACTAAAGCATTTGATTAATGAAATGCTTCTTCAAATGAAATATTTTTTTCTTTCATAATTTCATCAACAGTTTTTTCAGTAATAATATTACATTATCTTGCAATTGCAGCAGCTGTAACAGGTTAATCACCAGTAACCATAATAACTTAAATACCAGCTGTTTTACATTTAATAACAGCATAAGGTACATTATCTTTAGGAGGATCAATTAAAGATATCAAACCAACAAAAACTTATTTATTAAATGGAAAGTTCATTTTATCAAGATTAAATTAATATCCAATAGGAAATTATTCTTTAGGTAAATGTAATTTAGCAAATCCAAGTACTCTTTCTCCTTATCTTCCAAATTATTCATTTATTGATAGAAATGATTATTCCCATTTTTCATCTTTCACTTCTATTCTACCATTATTATATGCTTAATCACAAAGACCCCATATTCTCTCAGGAGCACCTTTAGTTAATAAACAATAATGAGAATCTGCAGTTTCATATTCAACTATTAAAAATGCATATTTATTTGTTGAATTAAATGGCATTTTGGCCATTTTATTTTCTGCATCTTTTGCAACTTATCTACTTTATCTAGTTTAAATTATATCATTGATTGGTTAAAAGAATTTAATTAAGGCTGTTTCTGAAGCATCACCAATTGTAGGTTTTTCTTAACAAGTCATTTTCTAAAAATTTTGATTCCATTTATCTTATGCTTCTTTTAATTTCTAATCTTTTTATTATTGATTTAAACCAATAGAATTTTAAATTTTAATTTATTGTTCTTAAGGAAGAGTAGTATCAAAAGTAGCCTCAGAACATAAAATTGCAGTTTCATGTAATGTTTTAAATCCTATTTCATTTAAATCATATTCATAATGATATTTAGGTCCCATCTTTTCTCTATTCAATCCTTTGTATTTCTTATTATTATACCATAAATTTTCAACTGTCATCTTATTTTAAGTTAAAGTACCAGTTTTATCTGAACAAATACAAGATCTATAAATATATTTAATAAGGATTACGTAGATCCTAGAGTTTCAACACCTTCTAAATTCTTTACTAACACTTTTTTATATGCTAATTTTTTGGCTGTAAGAGTTAAAGCTACTGTAACTGTTGCTAGAAGCCCTTCAGGTACATTTGCAACAATAATACCAATGGCAAAAACAAGATTAGTAATGGCGGCTAAAATTTAAAAATTTTATTTTACGATATCCAATAATGAAACCTAGAACAAAAAATATCACACCTATTGATATAGCAATTACTGCTATATATTTAATAAACACATTAAGTTCTCTTCTAAGAGTTGTATCATCTCCTCCAGAACTTTCAACCAATCCTGCTATTTATCCAATTACGGTATTATCTCCAGTAAATACTACTATGCCT